TTTGTCCTTGGCTTCTTGCTCTCTTTTATCTTTTGACCTCACAGGTCACTAATCCTGTTGCTTCTGACTGGGAAACGATGCATACTCTAGCCCCCTCAATACTTCTCCGCTCTCAGGCAAAGTTACCTTTCTCCTTCCTTTGCCCTCCACACGTTGTTTATTCCTATTTTTGTTGTACTTGCCACGTTGTCGTGCCCATCTCCCACTTTGGACTGAGTTCATCGAAGTTAAGAAAAGACCCTGTCTTATTTATCCTTGTTACCTTAGCTTTTAGCACACAGTCTGGCGGACAGCAAATGCTCAAGAAATATGAAATGAATGAAGAATGAACCTCACAGAAGAACCTGAAGATGTTGGTGGATTACAGCCGGTGAATTACAGTGAATTTGCTAAAACTAAACACTGTTTTAGCAAACTATGTCAGGCAAAGAGAAAATACAGATATCCAGGGCTGGGGGGACATAGCGGAAAAAACAATTTTATTTAAAATGTGAGTATATGGGATGGGTGGTAGTGGGGTAATAGACCATAAGTTGAGTGGGGATTGTAGTGTTTTCAAGCCTCAGTTCATATCCTCTCTCTGGTCGTAGAGGATCGTGGGCATGTAACCCCTTGGGGGCTGGGAGCAGAGTCCCGAGCAGCCTTTCTGCCCCAGGTATCAAGTATCTGCATATTTAGAACATACCCATATTTTACCTTTAGAAATTCATGCCAATTTTGCGTTCTGTTTTATTACCTCTGAGTATTTTAAGGTGAAAATACCTTTTTCTCCCCACCCACCTCATCCTCTAGTGAGTAGTTGCTTCAGGAACTTGTGCCATTTATCCTCAGGCTTCCAGCACATCGGCCTGCCCCAGTGCCCAAATCTGGGAGGCATGGGACGGGGTTACGGTCTAATATGGCAGTATTCTAGCTTGCTGTGATGTGGGGGATTGTCTACTCAGGAGTATTATGTCATGGAACCGAGAAGGGCGAGCTCATCTTTGTTCTAACGAGGCTATTCCTGGAAGGCTGCAGTCAGTTGGAGGCACCTCATTACCAGATCGCTGGGGACCAGCTGGAGAGAGTTCACAGAAGACCCACAGGAATGATTAAGAGACTGGAGGGGCTGACTGATGAGGAAAGAATATACATGAAAACTGTATAACTTGGCTGAACCGAGATAGCAGGAATACACAACTGTATAAATATCTCAAGAGAATAAACTTGATGGGGGAGGGCAGTCTCTTATGGTGGGATTTGGGGGAGAGTAAACCAAGGCTGAAATTAAGCAAAGGAAAATGTAAACTAATAATCTAAAGTACCTGATGGTGTACTCTAATTTTTGGAACCTTCTTAGGTCACTCTAAACTGTGGACCTTTTGTTAATTGAATGATTTGGTTTTTTAAAGTTGATTTTCCTGGACTTGTGGCTGGTGCTTCTGTATAGAGAATCCTAAAGACTCCATCTTTCAAAGCCAACATCTTTCTTTTGTCTTGTCTTTCTCTGTGGGACTCTATGGGCAATAGATGGGTGATTGTGGGCTGCCACTGCTTCTTGCTTTCTTCACCAGAGTTCCAAAGTGGATTTTCACATCCTTTTTTTCACGGCTTTTTATAATAGCATTTTAAAAGCAGACACTGAGTCAGTAATATGTATTGTAATAATTTTAGAAACCTGGTTATGGGATTGGTCCCTGAGGTACTGGTTTTAGGAAATTACAGCCTTGATGAAATGCAAACATAATTGTAGGAAACATGTACTTTGGGAAATGATTGTATAAAATCCGACTTTGGGGTATGGGAGGCATAAAACTTTTAAATAGCAGTTGAAATTAGGAGAAATATTTGCCTAATGTTGCCAGTTTTATAGCTCTTTTCCTAAGAGGGGACAGGAGAACTGGAAGAAAATGATTTTATGCTTTTTTGATTTATGAAAATGGGTTCATTTACAAAGCAGTTATGCAGCTTTAAGACTGAGACCTCTATGCTAGAGAGTGGTAAACTTTTCTTGTAAAGGGTCAGATAGGAAAGCTTTGTAGACCCTAAATCTCTGCAGCTACTCAGCTTTGCTTTTCTGGTGCAAAAGTAGTCATAGACCATATGTAAACGAATGAACTTGGCTGTGTTCATCCTTTTTTTTAAAAAAAGCAGGCGACTATCTGGATCTGGCCTGCAGGCTGTAGTTTGCCAACTCCTGCTCTAGACCTTTGCTCCCGAAAGCATGATCTGCAGACCAGCAGCATCAACACTCCCTGTGAGCCTGCTGGAGATACAGAATACTGGGTTGCTTTCCAGAGGGGCTGCCCTGGAGCCTAGACCAAGCTTCTCAGACTTTAATGTGTGTAGGAATCTCATGGGGGCACTTATCAAAGTACAGACTGAGATAAACTGAACAATATACTAGCTACTGGGAGACAAAGATGAGTCAGACCAGTCAGTGTCCTCAGAGACCCCAGAATTCATTAGGAGAGACTACTGTATAAACAAATAATTACAGACTAATAAATGCTATAATAGAGGTATTTTCAGCACAGGAGTATCACAGCGGAGCAAGTGATTGGTTCTGTGTGGCATGGGGGCAATCCTCAGAGGGGCCTGAGAATTGGACCAGGAAGGGGATAGTGCTTGAGTTGAATTTTCAGGCTTACTAGAGACACTGAATGAAGAAGCATTGTCAGGGGTAGGCATGGTAGTTCGTGGTGGGGTGCGGTAAAAATGATATTAGAACTAGGAGTTATTCGGGTGCCTGGGTGGCTCGGTTGGTTAAGTGTCTGCCTTCGGCTCAGGTCATGATCGCAGCATCCTGGAATTGAGCCCCACATCCAGCTCTCTGCTCAGCAGGGAGTCTGCTTCTCCCTCTCCCTCTCCCTCTGCCCCTGAGTGCTCGCTCTCTAATAAATAAATAAAATCTTTTTAAAAAACCACTATTAAAAAAAAAGAACTAGGGTGCCTGGGTGGCTCAGTTGGTTAAGCGACTGCCTTCGGCTCAGGTCATGATCCTGGAGTCCCGGGATCAAGTCCCGCATCGGGCTCCCTGCTCAGCAGGGAGTCTGCTTCTCCCTCTGACCTTCCTCCTTCTCATGCTCTCTGTCTCTCATTCTCTCTCTCTCAAATAAATAAATAAAATCTTAAAAAAAAAAAAAAGAACTAGGAATTATTTAATTTAATAATCAAATAGCTGATTACAGGGCTGGAGACCCATTACGATCATAATGAATAGAAATAAAATTTCAGTTACATTCTATTATTTTTAGCTAATTTTTTATGCTCTTTCCCTATTTAAAAAAAGGATAACTTGCCTGTTCTCTCCCCAAAAGTTATTTGTTCTCTAGAAATAGAAACTTTTAATATCTTCTTACATCAGTAAGAATTTAGAAAACACTGAAAGGTACAGGTTGAAAATAAAAATTATTTATAATTCCAAACACCAAGAGATGATGACTATTAATATTTTTGTGTTGTTCCATCTAGTTTTGTTTAGGTAACATTTTAAAAATTGGGCTCATGCTATGTAATTTTGTGCTTGCCTTTTATTTAGCATTTTTTTGTGAGAAATTTCTTTCGTTACTCCTTAAAAGGTGTCATTTTTTAATGCTTAGATAGCATTCTAATGGAGCTCCTGTAGTTTATATAACTCTTATCTTGTTTGTGGATCCTTTAAGCTGGTTCCAGTTGCTAGTTGACCTAGCTTTTGGCTCATGTACTTGGCAATTCTATCACCATATTTTAAAATAAATACATATATTGTTTATTTGTAATTATAAAAGTTTGCCAACTTGTTTGATCTGCTGGCCTTCACTCATTCCGTTCTGCTGTTCTTACTAGCATCGTGGCTTTTCTTCCTTGGTTTCCCAGGGTAGGGAGACAGTAGGGTAGTCATTAAAAAGCATGGATTCTGGGTCCAGGTTGTCTGGGTTTGACTCACCTCTACTACTTAACGGTGCGTTATCTTGAGAAAGTACCTCAATTTCCTCATCTGCAAAAGAGGGATAATTTTATCTGGGGTTGTGAGTTAATATATATGAAGCACTGATCACAGTTCCCACCGTGTGGAAAGAGAATCTCTTTTTTTTTTTTTAGTGATGAGTAGTCTCTTCTCATTTGTTTTATGGTGGCTGTTTGCGTATGCTTTGCCATACCCCCTTTCTGTTATGTTTAGTTTATGAATGTCTTTGAGTTACACACTGACTTTACTAGACTTTACTTAGTGACTTTATCTTGAAAGTTCACAGACTTTTTTCCCCCACTCAGAAAAGTAAATTTTACTATTAAAATCAATGTTGTTTCACCATGTCTTGGAAATGCAGACATGGGCGCAAGGGGAGCAGCCTGCATAGACAGATGGGTTAGGTTTTAAAGCTTTTTGGTGGTTTTCCCTTTCCAAGGGAGTATTACCTTGATTGCTTCTATGGCATAATAAGGCCCTCTGTAATGTGGCCCCACCTATCCTGTGGTCTCGTTTCTCTTCACCCTATTCCCAAACCCTGTGCTCCAACCCCATTAAACTGGAACCGGGCATGTGGTAGTGATGAGGCTTACTCTTTATTTTTTTCTTTTTTAAAGATTTTATTTATTTCTTTGAGAGAGAGCACAAGCAGGGGGAGGGGCAGAGGGAGAAGGAGAAGTGAGCAGGGAGCCTGATGCAGGGCTTGATCCCAGGACCCTGGGAACATGACCTGAGCCAAAGGCAGACGCTTAACGACTGAGCCACCCAGGTGCCCCAAGGCTCACTCTTTAAATTTGTGCCCTCGTTGCTTCTCTTGAAGGATTAAAATCGACTACAGTGCTCGAGCTTCCTTTTGGGGAGTGACACAGTTAAGGCAGTGAGGCTGCCACTTGCCTTTTGTTGTGGAGTTTTAATTGGGAAAGCTTAGTCGAGGTTTACCAGGCCTTGCTTATTTTTAGGGCCCCAGAATTTCCTCTGCCCGTTCTATCTATCTCCTCTTTGTTGTTTTCTGGGCATTCTCTTTCAGAAATAAAAACCTCTTCCACTGACCCTTTTTTTCTCCATTGAATAGGATCCCGGGACAAGAGAACAGATGCATCCTTTGGCAGTCGATTGCACCCTGCCCTAGAGAGAAGTCCAGGATAATACTTTTGGGCCTATATTTCTCCACCCTGGAATTCATCCAGTTCATTCCAGAAATATTGACCCTCTGCTTCTGTGACACCTCCTCAATGAATGTCTGATGGACAGACACTTTCCGTTTACCTTGCAGCAATTTTCTTTCCTGTGGAGGTTGGAAGAAAAGGTGAATGGTGCCAAAAGTTGCCTGCTTTGGTGAATAGGACTGTTCCACTTGGTTCTCAGAACATGGGCCCTCGTTTAAAGGTAAGAGCATAGAGTAGTTCAGTTTCACTTGGTATTGGGATACAGAACATGGACTCAGTGACCAGTTCCTCAGCCTTTCCAGCAAGGGATAGCTGTTGAAGTGCACAGTTATAATTAGAATCTCCCTTCTTCCCACCCCTAGAGCACCTCTGAGGATGAAGAGATCAATTCTCTGTTTCTGGGAAATGACTTTTTCACAACTGGTCTTTAAAGGCAGGGCTAAAATTTATTAAATATTGTAATTATGAATCTTTAGACTCCTAAAAAAGCAAAGAGTTTTAGAAGATGTATGTTAGTCAACTTTCTAACATTCCCTTGAGACAGGCACTTTCAAGTATTCCCCCACCCCCGCCTTTTGTAGGTAATGTGAGCCAAAGTACTGTAGTATTAAGCAACTTGCCCGGGATCTTTTAGTAAGCAAGTGATATTTCTGCATTAGATAATTGGTACTGCATTCCATTTTCCTTTGTCATGCTTTATTTTTATTTCAAAATGTTTTAAAAAGGGCCATAAGCATTTATTTTTCTAATTTTAACCTTATGGTGCGACGCCTCACAGTAAGATTAAGTAATGTTTTTCATACATTCTTTTACCTGTTTTTTTCATCTTTCCTCTTCCTGAGTACTTCTCTGTTGCTATGACTCCATCCTTTGTCATGATTTAGTGTTATATGAGGCTTAGAACACTGGGTTTCAGAGTTAGGCACAGGCTTGAGTCTCAGCTGTCGCTTAACCAGCTGGGAGAGGTTCAGCAAATTAACTCTCCAAGCCCAGCTTTTGTGTGTGTGTGTGTGTGTTTTAATCTATAAAATGAGAATAATAGTGTTTATTTTACCAAATTGTTAGGGAGACAATTACTTAGGCTAACACATATAAGGACTTAGTGCTTCACTTATCGTAAGTGACTCAATAAGGATAGGGAGTGAATATTACTTTACTACTACTGTTATTCTGCTAGCTTAGAGAATCACAGTTTGCTGAATTGTATAAAAGCAAGATACTAAAGAGATGAACTTGAAAACAAAATACTCGTGTAGCCAAATGGAATGAATTAGTGTGGCAGAGGCTTAACATACTACATCTTTGTGCTTGAATTAGACTCGGGAAGAGTTGCAAGATAATTTTATGAAGAAGAAGCGTGAGCAGCAGAAAGTGGAGGGTGCTATAGAAACTGTTCTAGAAAAATAAATGCTCAAGATTAGGAAGATAGAACCATAAAACCAGATACCATGCCATGCATGAGAACCTGTGACTCTGGTTGTAGGTATTTGGTACAGACTTGCAGAACTACAGTAAACTGGTAACTTGTGGTCTGAAGAGTTTATATTCCCTGGCTCAAGTGAATGTACTGCCACTTAGAGAAGTCTTTAAAAACTATATCAGAGAGGAGGTCACATCTAGAAAATTCCTGATCCTTAGGCATTCTGGACAAAGGAAAGAACAGACATTGGACCATATCCATTCAGATATTTCATTCATATTTATTGCAATTACTATATGCAATTACGTTGGATGCCGTGGAGAATTTTGAAGAGTAGTCTTTGCCTCCTGTTATATACCACTCTGAAATATAAAATAAAACAAACATGGGACTAAAATGAAAGAGAATATAAATCTCTATAAGATAAATATTAAGTAATGTGGGCATTCGGAGGAGGGATGGAATTTCTCAATTGAGACTGAGGGAAGATTTCAGGGAGGGGAGACAGGATTTTCCCTAGACTTAGGGTTAGGAGATTTCCCATGGATGGAGACGTGAGAGGGGAGTGGATAGTCTAGGCAGAGGAAGGGACTGTTGCAAAGCATGGAAATGGGACGTTTCAGAGCTTAGATGTAAAGATGGAAAGGACTCGAGTCAGGTAGATCATAGGATGAAAACAAGGGACTGTGGGAGATAGGGCCAAGGGGAATGCTGTGGGTGGGGATGGGAGTGGAGAGAGAGCAGAGAGAGCCTTGCTGGGATCAGGAAGAGGACAGAAAATGCTAACAGAATGGAAGTGAAATCTGGAATAAAAGTGATCTGAGTGACAAAGATGGGAAAGTTTGTGACAGCATTCAAGAGGAACAAAACAGGAGGAAAACGTAGAAGGAAGGCAAGTTCAAAATGTGACCAGTTGAGGGGGGCGGTAATTGGAGGGAGAGATGGACCATGAGAGACTATGGACTCTGAGAAACAAACAGGGTTTTGGGGGGGTGAGGATTGGTAGCCCGGTGATGGGTATTAAGGAGGGCACGTACTGCATGGAGCACTGGGTGTCATATTAAAACAATGGATCATGGATCACCACATCAAAAACCAATGATGTATGGTGACTAACATAACATAATAAAATAAAATAAAAAATGTGACCAGTTGAGAAATGGGTAGATATAAAATTAGAATAGTATGAAGAACTTCCATGTAGGCAGAAATTTGAAGTACAGTAAGAAAAGCCATGCCTTTTGTAACTCATGCATTTCCCATTGAAGAAAATGTGGGCCAGTAGAGAGGTTCCCAGAGTTTCCTGCTGGCTCCGACGCAGAGGGATAGTGATGCTGCTACCACTACTGGGAATGAATGTAATAATAACTCAAACTGGCAATTCACTGTATGCCGTATTCTAGGCTGTTCACATGCATTAACTCATTTCATCCTCACAGACACCCCTGCGAGGTATACGCAGATATACCCCATATGATAGATCTATCTACCCCATTTGATAGATAAGGAAACTGGCTTTCCCTAGAGAGATGAAATAACTTGTCCATGGTCACACTGTGAGAGGCAGAGAATGAGTTTGAACCCGGGGAGTCCATGCCCTCATCCTCTCTATTGTCCTCTTTGCTATACTGTTTGATTTTAGAGTCCTGATGGCTGTGAAGCGTTAGATTGAAGTCCTGCCACACTAAAGGAGACGGTGCCGTAGAAATGACTAAACCTCAACTCTTTTTATAGCAAGGAGAATTCTGAAGCCTGGCCAGGTCACACACTTGCAGCCTTGGAACTGGTCTGCAGGCCTCTGACTTAACTGCTTGTCCACTGCCTCTCCCAGAAAAGGTTGTCGCAGTTGTCAGAGATAGCACATTGGAATTTTCCCAGCCCTCATGATAATGTGCCATAAATCTGGCATGGTTCTTGTTCTTCCAAGGAGTAAGAGACTTGAGACCACAAGTCCTATAACATCACCACGTGCACTTTATTTTCTTCGGAGTGTCAGAACTTTGCTAAAGACTAGATTTTCATGTCCAGGATCAGATTGGATGACGTCCAACTGAGGGAGTACTTCAGACAGTTAAACTGCCAGTCTGGGTTCTACCAAGTCATCTAGGAAGTCATCTGCATCCTGGAAGTTGCTTTTTTGGATGCTTTTTTGAGAGATGAAAGCAGCTTTCAGTGTAAGGTCCCAGGAGATGAGATACTTGTTTGGGAAGGAGGCTCAGTAGTTGTGATCCCAAATTTGGAGTCTATATATTGTCTCTTTATAATAGACCCTTCTGGGAGCAGCCTAATCCATGGATATTGACTGTGCTAATGTTCCCTGTGTGGATTTCTTTTCTAGTAGGACTTTAGACACTAGTCTAAATAGGGATTTCAATGAAACGCGACATGGTCATTCCTCAAATTACCTACTGTCTCTGGATACCATAGACAGTTGCTATGAGAGGAACTAATGGAACTAATGGCCATTTTCTGTCTGTCTCTTAAATTTTTCTAGTACAGTTAGATATAAAAGTAATTTCTTTAAGTAATACTCTAGTGCTGATAAAAGGTACTGGGTTGAGCTAATGTTGATACCTTTATATACATTGACTTGAAAAGCATGAATTCACCACATTGTAGAATGGAGAGCTTTTACAGCCTATACTAAGGTCAGAACTCGGTGATAAGATACCAATGTCAATGTACATTGCATTTTTCCTTGGTAATACCTTGGGTGGTTCAAACAAGTAATGACGATTGAAGTCTTATTCTGGAAACAAGTTTAATAACAGTGAAAGTTTCCCCTCAAACTCTGGCCTCTGTTTGAATTGTTCTGACCTTAACGGGCATCACTTAGGAGAAATACAGTCTCCTCCTTTTGTTCCTTTCCTTGGCCTTTCTGCTGAGCTCCTCTTCCATAGGACCTGTTGTCTGAGTACTAACAGCAAAAATGACTTCTCCTACATGCCCACTGCTTATTACTGGATGACCCATGGTTTGCTTTACTTATATAATGCCAACATGATGCTAATAATACTTGCTTTTAAAAAATCCACATTTGATACAGCTATTTCCACTCAGATGAATTACTTCTAGAGGAAAATAGAAGGGGAAAGTGATTCCATTACCCTCTTTGCTTATGTTAATTAGCACTACTTTGCAAGGGGGAGGGAAACTGTCTTGGGGCCCTGGATCTAAGAAGATGAAAGCCATGTTACTGCATTTTGTAATTCGCACTAGAGCAAGTGGCTGTTTGTGGTATTCTAGGGTGGTCATAGATTGGAAGTCTTTAGAAGGAGTGAAGATGCAGTGACTGTTTCACCGCAGTTTGTCATAGGGCACCTGTCAGGCTAGAGAGAGAGGACAGGGATAGTAAGGCTCGAGTCCGTCAGCTCAAACCATATGTTCCTTGTCTCTCCCTGAGATGGCTGTTGGGAAGAGTTGGAGAAAAAACTAAACAGGTTTTCTTTTGCAGCTGCAGCTGTGATCCTCGCTGTCTGTCGGCATTGAAGGGACCTGATGTTTTACGTTATTGGTATGTTATGGAAAGAGCTGTCTCTATTATCTTCTTGTTAGGGTTGCTACATCCGTTTTGTCTCCCTGTCTATCCCTTTCCTCTTGAAAATAGACTTAGAAATATTTCTACTCATGCCAGAATGTACCTTCACAGAGCTGACAGTGGAGTTCATTCATTTGGGAAATATTTATTGAGTAATTCTGGTCCGTGCCAGGCAGTGTTTCCTGCCGAGTCAAAGTTGAATAAGGCAAAAATCTGCCTTCAAGAAGTTCATAACATGAATGGGGAGATGGTCAAGGGGGAGAAGAGCTATAATAGGCGAATAGGCAGGAGTCTGAGGGAGCCCGGAAGGGGGAACCCCTAATGCAGGTGAGGATCGGGGAAGGCTTTTGCCAAGTGGACAAGAGAAGGGAAGACTTTCAAATGGAGGGAGTAGAATTCACATTCTTTTTAGGACTCTTGTGAGGGCCTAGCCCACGCAGGAAAGGAGGGGATGGGCATTCTGTGTGGCCCATGGTATAGAACCAGGGTCAGCAGACTTTTTCCGTAAAGGGCCAAAGAGTAAATATTTCGGCTTCCCAGGCCATACAGGCTCTGTCACAATTACTGAATTCTGCCAGTTTAGGGCAAAAGCAGCCCTAGACAATATGTAAATGAATAGATGAGGCAGGGTTCTAATAGAACTTTATTTGCAGAAATAGGCAGCGGATGGGATTTGGCCTGTAATTTCTGACCCCTGGTATAGAAGTTCCTCTCTTTGGGGCATCTGGGTGGCTCAGTCAGTTAAGCATCTGACTCTTGGTTTCGGCTCAGGTCATGATCTCAGGGTCGTGGGATCAAGCCCTGGGTCGGGCTCTGCGCTCAGTACAGCATCTGCTTGAGATTCTCTCTCCCTCTCCCTCGCCACTCCCCCTGCTTGCGCATGCTTTCTAAATAAATAAATAAGTAAATAAATAAATAAATAAAAATCTTAGAAGTTCTTCTCTTCACCCACAGAGGTAGTGACCCACTATGATGTTTCTTTGGAAGTCTTGTTCTCTCATCCTGACTTCTTTTAGTTTTTGAAAGATGACTGGCCTTTTCCACAATGAGAAGCTCTGATGTATAACTGGCAGGTGGTATGTGTGTTCTCTTTTACATAGGTGGGATCACAGTGTCTGTGGTTGCATTCTTCTTCACAATTAAGTTCCTCTTTGAGCTTGCCGCACGCGTAGTCAGCTTCCTCCAGAATGAGGACCGTGAGCGCAGAGGGGATCGGACTATTTATGACTACGTGCGGGGAAATTACCTGGATCCCCGGTCTTGCAAAGTCTCCTGGGATTGGAAGGACCCCTATGAGGTGGGCCACAGCATGGCCTTCCGAGTGCATGTAAGGGAATGTTTCTGTCTCCATACCCATTGGGTTTTCTGAATCACTTGCTTTCCAGAGTAGTGCTGGCCTAGAATGTTAACATGTTTCCTTGTTTTTCAGTCATTCCTAGGGACTTAGTAATTGTTACTATCTGGAAGGGTCATAATTTATCATTTTGGTTTAGTAGGTGCTTAGCTTTGAAGATGCATAAAGCTTAATGTTACTTTTTCAAAAGAAGAAAAATATCACCAGAAAGAATAGGTGTTATAGATTGGGGGTTGGCAAACTATGGCCTGAGGGGCCAAATCAGGCCCACCTCTTGTGTCTGTAAATGTAGTTTTATTAGAACACAGCCATACCCATTCATCTTCCTGTATTGCCTGTGGGCTGCTTTTACACTTAATAGTTAACCACAGTTGAGTCGAGTAGCTGTGTATGACCCACAAAGCCACAATATGTACTCTCTGGCCCTTTACAGAAAAGTTTGCCTGCCTGCCCCCACTACCCCAGCCCTGCCTGGTGCTTCAGCTCACCCAGCGCTAGTGGCACCCACTGACTTACCTTCACGTTTGGGTGAGCAGTGGTAATAGAGTAAGAAGGGCGGGTACACAGAGGGGACAGCATTTGTGGTTCAGAAATGTCAAGTTGAAATGGATTCAGCAGTATCTTTTATCTCTGTCTCCTGAACAAGTTAAGAATTTGTTCACGATTCGGTGTTTTCTCTGAGGTGTGGCGTTTCTCTCTGTGTCTGTGGGGAGGACTGTAGGAACAGTGGGTACTGGGATTTGCCAGCTACCTCGTGCCTCCCCACACTCTCTCGAGTTAGGTGGGAAACAGTTGTCTCCTCCTGCTCACTAACAAGTGCCCCTCGTCTCCCCCCATCGCAGTTATTCTACAAGAACGGGCAGCCTTTCCCGGCACATCGGCCGGTGGGACTGAGAGTTCACATCTCTCATGTCGAGCTGGCAGTGGAAATTCCAGTGACCCAGGAAGTCCTCCAGGAGCCCAGTTCCAACGTGGTCAAGGTGGCCTTCACTGTGCGCAGGGCGGGGCGTTACGAAATCTCGGTGAAGCTTGGTGGATTAAACGTGGCCTACAGTCCCTACTATAAGATTTTTCAGCCTGGTATGTTCTTTCTTCTTTTTTTCCTCCCTGTTTCCATCCCTTCCTTCCTGTATGTTTCTTTCTTGCTTTTTAAAAATACACCTTTATTAAGATTTCATTCACACGCCGCATCATCCGTCCAGTTAAAATATACAGTTAAATGGTTTTAAAAATTTAGAGTTGTGCAGTCGGCACTGCAGTTTGTTTTAGAGCATTTTTCATCACCCTCAAAAGAAATCGGTACCCATTAACAGTCATTCCCCATTTACCCCAAACCTCCCCATCCCTAAGTAACCATTTACCTACTCTGTAGATTTGCCTCCTCCAGACATTTTATGTAAGTGTAGTCATAAAATATATGACCTTTTGTGACTGCCTCTTTCACTTAGCATAATGCTTTTAAGGTTTATTCATGCTGTAGCTTGAATCAGTGCTTCATTTCTTTTTCTTGCTAAATGACATTCTATTGTATGGATATACCACCTTTTATTTATCCATTTGTCAGCTGATGGACATTTGGGTTGTTTTTGCTTTTGGCTGCTGTGAATAATTCTGCTGTGAACTTTTGTGTCCAAGTTCTTGTGTGGACGTACGGTTTTATTTTCTCTAGGAGTGGAATTGCTGGGTCATCATCCTAATAAGTTCTTAAGGGGTATGGGTGCCAGAATAGACAAAAGGTAAATTCTTCTGATTTTTGAAATCTTTTCAAGTAAAAGCCCCTTGACCCTAACTCCACCCTTACTGCCCGTATGTGTTTTCCTTCTCATGGCTGAGTGTCTGCCCACACTGCTGATATCTAAGAATTGAGACCTCTCTCTTTACTTTTTTTCCCCACTCATATCCTTTATGCCAGATAATAGATGCTCACCGACTTTGAAGCCTAAAGGTGTAATCTCTGACTTCTGATTCTGCAACAAATCTGTTTAGTGTGTTAACCATCCTGTCTGCTCTGTGTGCCCTGCCTTGGTTTCCTTTTGAGGGTGTCGTTAAGTACTGGCCAGGTTGGTATCCACAGAAATGAGAGGACTTTGGGAACATTTTGGAGTCAAACGATAAGAAGAGGAGCCCTAAGAAGATTTGTGTATCTTTGCTTGACTGGTCCTTAGTTTTCTTTCTCTTATAACAGTGGAAGGCTGTGGACAAGGTGGCTCCCAAGCCACATCCCTCCCCATGTATCTCCTCCTTTACTTCAGTGACTCACCCACAGACTCCTTTCCACAGGAATTATCATCACCCCACCTCCTTGCCACCAGTGGAGAACAGTTCATATCCTTACAATATGTCTCAGCCTTTTATTTTTAAATTAAAATTAAACTCTTCATTTTGAGATAATTGTAGTTCTCCTGCAGTTTAAAAAATAATACAGAGGGATCTGGTGTACCCTTGACCCAGTTTCCCCCAATGGTTGTGAGATCTTATAAAACTAAAGTACAATATCACAGCCAGGTTATTAACATTGATACAGTCAAGGTGCGAAACATTTCCATCACCACAAGGATCCTTATGTTGCCTTTTTATAGCCACATATTTTCCCTCCCCCACCCACCTGTTTCTTAACCCCTGGCAGCCCACTAATCTCTTCTCCATTTCTATAATTTTGTCATTTCAAGAATGTTATATAAATGGAATTATATTGGACATCTGGGTGGCTCAGTTGGTTAGGCATCTGCCTTCAGCTCAGGTCGTGATCCCAGGGTCCTGGGATTGAGCCCCACAGGGGGCTCCCTGCTCCACGGGGAGTCTGCTTCTCCCTCTTCCTTTGCCCCTCCCCCCACTTTTGTGCTCTCTCTCTCTCTCTCTCAAATAAATAAAATAAATAAAATCTTTAATAAATGGAATTATAGTTCACTCAGTCTAATTCCCTGGAGATTCAGCCAAGTTGTTGAGTGTACCAGTAGTTGGTTCCTTTTTATTTCTGAGAAGTATTCCACAATGTGAATGTACCATAGTTTGTTTAACCATCACCAGTTGAAGGACATCTGGGTTGTTTTCAGTTTGGGGCTGTGATGAATAAACCTATGAGAATTCATGCACAGGTTTTTGTGTGAACATATGTTGTCATTTCTTTTGGTGTAAATGCCCAGGAATATAATTGCTGGGTCATATGGTAGTTACACACTTAGTATTTTTTTTTTTAAAGATTTTATTTATTTGACAGAGAGAGACACAGCAAGAGAGGGGACACAAGCAGGGGGAGTGGGAGAGGGAGAAGCAGGCCTCCTGCTGAGCAGGGAGCCCGATGTGGGGCTTGATTCCAGGACCCTAGGATCATGACCTGAGCTGAAGGCAGATGCTTAATTGACTTGAGCCACCCAGGCGTCCCAAGGATGTGGTAGTTTTAATCTGCATTTCCCTAATGGTTAATGATGCTGTACATCTTTTCATGTGCTTATTTGCCATTTGTGTATCTTCTTTGGTGAAATGTCTTTTGCCTATTTTCTTTTTTTTTTTTATTTTTTAAAGATTTTATTTATTTATTTGACAGAGAGAGACACAGCGAGAGAGAGAGCACAAGCAGGGGGAGTGGGAGAGGGAGAAGCAGGCTTCCTGCCAAGCAGGGAGCCCGATGCGGGGCTCGATCCCAGGACCCTGGGATCATGACCTGAGCTGAAGGCAGACGCTTAACGACTGAGCCACCCAGGCGCCCCCTTTTGCCTATTTTCTAATTGGATGTTTTTGGTTTTTACTATTGAGAATTCTTTATATATTCAACATACTAGTCCTCTGTTATATATATAGTTTGCAAATATGTTCTGTCCTTTTTTTTTTTTTTAAAGATTTTATTTATTTATTCATGAGAGAGAGGGAGAGAAGCAGAGGCAGAGGGAGAAGCAGGCTCCCCGCGGAGCAGGGAGCCCGATGCGGGACTTGATCCCAGGACCCTGGGATCATGACCTGAGCTAAAGGCAGACGCTTAACTGACTGAGCCACCCAGGCGTCCCTGTCCTTTTTTTTTTTTTAAGATTTTATTTATTTATTTGAGAGCGAGAAAGCATGAGTGGGGAGGGGCAGAGGGAGAACAAGAAGCAGGCTCCTTGCTGAGCACGGAGCCTGATGTGGGGCTCGGTCCCGGGACTCCAGGATCATGGCCTGATCACCTGATAACTGACAGAGCCACCCAGGCACCCCTGTTCTATCAATCTTTAGCCTTTCTTTTTATCCCCTTCACAAGGTCTTTCACAAAGCAAAAGTTTTTAATTCTGATGAAGTCAGTTTATTAATTTTTTCTTTTAAGGATCATGCTTTAGGTATCTGAGAACTCTGTGACTAGTTCTAGATCCTGAAGATTTCCTCCTGTTTTTTTCCCGAGAAGTTTTACATTTTATATTTAAGGCTGTGATCCATTTTTGGTTAATTTTTGTATACTGTGTCAAGATTTTTTTTTCCTTATAGATGTCTAGTTGTTCCAGCACCATTTGTTGAAAAGACCATCTTTCCCCTATTACATTGCCCTTTTTTTGTACCTTTGTTAAAGATAGGTTAGGCATATTTGCAGGGGTCTATTTCTGAGTCCTCTGTTCTGTACCATTGATCTATGGGTCTGTCCCTCCATCAGTACTACAGAATCTGGATTACTGTGGCTATACAGTAAATCCTGAAATTGGGTAAACTTACTTTACTCTTTTTCAGGATTGTTATTTGCTACCCTAGATCCTTTCTCTTTCCATACAAATTTTAGAACACTATTTTCTATATCTACAAATACTCTCGCTGAGATTTTGATAAGAATGGTATTAAACCAGGGCGCCTGGGTGGCTCAGTCGTTAAGCATCTGCCTTCGGCTCAGGTCATGATCCCAGGGTCCTGGGATTGAGTCCTGCATCGGGCTCCCTGCTCTGCCGGGAGCCTGCTTCTCCCTCTCCCACTCCCCCTGCTTGTGTTCCCTCTTTCTCTGTGTCTCTCTCTGTCAAATAAATAAATAAAATCTTAAAAAAAAAAAAAGAATGGTATTAAACCTGTATATTACTTGGGGAGGATTGACATCTTTACTATGTTGAATCTTCCAGTTCATAAACATGGTAACCTCTGACTTTATACAGACCTCTTCATTTCTTTCATACGCATTTTGTAGTTTTCAACATAGGAGTCTTGTACCTTTGTCCTTAGATTTGCACCTGTTTCAGGGGGTTTTTTTGTTTTTTGTTTTTTTGCTTGTTTCTTTGTTTTGTGGTTGTTTAGCACTTATTTCTGAGGCCTGCCTCACTTGTAGGTTCCCAGTGGGACTGTAGGCACTATGGAACTCTCAGTTCTGTTTCCTGTGAGTCCTTTTCTCATTTTGTTTAGTGCAGCATTGGTTGGAAATTTGTGAAAATGAGTCCCTCAGTTTATTGGAATGAATCTTTCTTTTTCTCGTCCTCTTAATGGTGGTGTTTATCCCTAGGAATTGGGTGGGGCCCAGCTCCCTGGGACTCACTGATTGAGGAGATCTTTGTGCTCTGAAAAGCCCCCCTCTAAGGATTAGATTCCATTGTCTGTTCCAGGAATGGTGGTTCCTTCCAAGACCAAGATAGTGTGCCATTTTTCTACTCTGGTGTTGACCTGTGGACAGCCACACACCCTTCAAATAGTGCCCCGAGATGAGTATGACAACCCTACCAACAATTCTGCATCCTTGAGAGATGAGCACAATTACGGTGTGTCCATCCATGAGGTAAGCAGCTTCCCTTCCTCATCTGTGTGCTCCTTCTCTGTCATTCTCACCCCTTCTCATTCACTTCCTTTTGTCTCCACCCTGACTTCTGTGCTGTCCTTCCTTCGTCTGGCAGTGCCCATCTCATGAGTAATTATGAAACTTAGATCAGCTTGTAGATAGGAAAGTTCGTTGTAAAAAGTAAATTGCCATGCAGTAGGGACAATTCTATATGTTCAGTGATGCTCTGTTTTCCTCCCATAGCTCGGTCCTCAAGAAGAAGAGAGCACTGGTGTCTCGTTTGAGAAGTCAGTGACATCCAACAGGCAGACCTGCCAGGTGTTCTTGCGACTCACCCTGCATTCTCGTGGCTGCTTCCATGCCTGCATTTCATACCAAAATCAGCCAATCAATAATGGTGAATTTGACATTATTGTCCTAAGTGGTGAGTTGAAAGAAAAGCTGTGATTTAGTCCCATTCCCAGACCACTCGTTCTTTGTGTGTCTGCATCGTTCAGCCCAGCCTCACACACATTTGCTATTTGAACCAAACTTGGCTTAGAGTCCTGTGGACTAAAGGTCTAGTGATAGGTCATCTCTTTTCTCCCCCGTCTCCTACTTTAAAACCTTGTTCCTTGTTACACTTCAGAGAATGAGAAGAATATTGTTGAACGCAATGTGTCCACCTCAGGAGTGAGCATTTACTTTGAGGCTTATCTTTATAATGCTACCAACTGTACCAGCACGCCCTGGCACCTTCCGCCCATGCACATGAGCTCCTCCCAGCGCCGGCCTTCTACAGCTGTGGAGGAGGAAGATGAAGATTCACCCTCTGAGTGCCAGACCCCTGAGAAGGTGAAGAAACCAAAGAAGGTGTACTGCTATGTGTCACCAAAGGTTGGACCTCCCATTCTTTTTTTTTTTTTTTGAGAGTTTATTTGAGATAGAGCACGCGCGTGAGAGAGAAAGCACGAGCGGGGGCAGAAGGAGAGGGAGAGGCAGGCTCCCCACTGAACAGGGAGCCCGATGCAGGGCTCAATCCCAGGACCCCGGGATCGTGACCTCAGCCAAAGGCAGACACTTAACAACTGAGCCACCCAGGCGGCCCTAGACCTCCCATTTCTTGTCTCAAAATCCCCCTGCCTGAACCTGCATATAATCGGCCGTTGGTAAAAAACCACAAAGTATTAGTGTGAGAATCAGGGCAAGATCATTGACTTGTAGGGTTTCTGGGATACTAAGAGAGGCTACTTAAGGTTGAGCAGCAGATTGTGCCCCCTCTTTTGCTGCACCTGTTTGGCTTGGACGAGGTGAAAACTCTCTCTAGAGATTCTGCGTGCCCTGGTGCTTTAGGCACCAGAGGTGGTCTTTGATTACTCCTGGGAAGATTTTTCAAGGCATGGCTCTTAGAATTTTAAAGAAAGCTACTTTTGACCATTAAAAATTTTTCGCTGGTATAAAAATTACTGTTGGCCCTTTATGCTGTTTTGAAACAATTTGCTCTTTCATTCTGTGCTTTGTGAAACCACAATAGATGCATGTCACTATCAGGCAACAAGATTGGAATAGAGAAATTTTGGCAGAGGCAAGGAGGTGAGCTCCCAAGGCCCCTGAGCTGAGAGGCACTTTGTGTTAGGAATTTTCTTTTTAATGTTTATATTTTGCTTAGTCATTCAGATCGCAGAAAAAAAGAACTCTTGAAACATCCTGTTACATCCCTTTAATCTCATAACCAAAACAGAGTACTAATTTCGTTCTACTTCAGACTTTGCTACGTGTCATTTATCATTTAAAAATCTAGCCCTACTTTGGACTAGGGGAATGGGAATGAGGGCCAGGGTGAGGTAATGAAACAAGATTGACTATGAAGTGATAACTGTTAAGGCTCATTGTACCATTTTCTCTTCTTTAGTATGTGTTTGAAATTTTCTTCATGAAGAATTTTTTAAAAATCAAAAAGTCCTGATCTATACATGTAGATAACAGTATTTTTAAATTAAAAGTTACTGTTTTGTCTTTTCCTTTTTTTATAACAGTATAAAGAGACCCTTCTTTAGTCTTACGTATTTTTAATGAACTTTTTTGTTTGAACCCACACCACCACCTTCATACATACCCCCACCCCTCACCTGCCCTCCCGTGACAGATCCTTGGTACCATTCTAATAGAGTTAAAGCAGTGGGTGTAGGCCATTGGTATCTCCTGTCCATTGAGGAATTTTGAGCAGCACCCAGCTCAACAGAGGGAGATTTTGATAGTTTCTAGGTGAAATGTTTACTCCTAAAGTAAAACCTGATCTCAGACATTTAGAAATGGTGGTGAAACTTGAATGTTAAGATTATGAAATGTCTCTATGTGAAATTGCATTGTCAGAGTAATATTTTTGATTTGCGTATTTTAAGATAGAATTGATGTTATTGATTTGATGTTAGTACTAAAAAACTATCCTCTTTGTCCCTATAGGGAAAAGGTTATGAGGAATGGAGTAGGGACTCTGATTTTTTTATTATGATACCCCAGTAGACCCTTTCTATTTATCATTCACTTCCTTTTCTGTATTTTCGTCCTCCAGCAATTCTCAGTGAAGGAGTTCTACCTGAAAATCATTCCCTGGCGCCTTTATACCTTCCGAGTGTGCCCAGGAACAAAAGTAAGTTGGACCTTACATCTGGTTCATGCTGAGGAGACTTCAACCCTGGAATGTTTCCGCCTTTTCTTTTTTCCTAGAAGGGCTTTTGGTGTTTCTGGAAGTTCTTATCGTGCACACAGGATTCATTGCCAAATCAAGAAAGGGTCCTTTTCTCCTCACAACATGGCATGAAGAAAATAGAAGTTCTAGAGGGACACATGCCTACAGAAACAGGAGTTAGTAGCAAGTCAGAATTCTTCAACAGTTATCTTTTGCCACTGAGACTAAGTTAATGGAGAGGGCGTTGGCGGTTCTGGCCCAAACTTGGTTTCCCAGTGTGCTGAAGTAAACTCTTTTAGAATGAGCATTCTCATGTATTAAAAACATTTGTTTTAACTTCTCTGAGCTTTTGAAATCTAAAAGTGAATTGCTTTCCTCCAGCCAGTCTGCCCAACCTCATCAGGTAGTCATTTGTATCTTATATATCTTTTTTTTAAGATTTTATTTATTTATTTGAGAAAGAGAGTACGAGCAGGGGGAGGGGCAGAAGGAGAAGCAGGCTCCCCACTGAGCAGGGAGCCCAACCTGGAGCTCGATCCCAGGACCCTGGGATCATGACCTGAGCCAAGGCAGACACTTAACCGACTGAACCACCAGGTACCCCTGTATCTTATATATCTTTACTGCCTTCATCCTTCTTACATTTTATGTTAGGAGGGCTGTAGTGTTGCCTGTGATCCTCACTAAATCCAGTCTCTGTGACTCAAATAATTTAAAGTACAATTGGATTATAGAACACTGAGATGAAGAACAAGGCGAGGGCGCCTGGGTGTCTCAGTCGTTAAGCGTCTGCCTTCGGCTCAGGTCATGGTCCCAAGGTCCTGGGATCGAGCCCCGCATCGGGCTCCCTGCTCCGCGGGAAGCCTGCTTCTCCCTCTCCCACTCCCCCTGCTTGTGTTCCTGCTCTCTCTGTCTCTCTCTCTGTCAAATAAATAAATAAATAAATAAATAAATAAATAAATAAATAAATAAATAAATAAAATCTTAAAAAAAAAAACCAAGGCGATATACTCCTAGGAGATGCTCACTTAGAGAAGACAGGCTTAATTTGTTTATTGGTTGGTACCGAAGGTTAGGGATATGGAAAGTTTTTGCTGGATTTGAGGGTTTTATAGATTAACGCCTTCTTTTTTTTCCTTTGTTAGTTTTCATACCTTGGCCCTGACCCTGTTCATAAGCTCCTCACACTGGTGGTAGATGATGGCATTCAACCACCTGTGGAGCTTAGCTGTAAGGAGAGGAACATTCTAGCAGCCACTTTCATCCGCTCCCTCCATAAGAATATAGGTAAGATTGGACAGGGATTCCGACAGGAAAGGCAGCGAACCCAGCCACCCTGGGCATCTGAAGGTGCGGGGTGGGCTGCACAGATGTCTTGTAATGAGGCTGTCATCATGATGGATCTTTTTACTCCTCAGGAGGCTCTGAGACCTTTCAAGACAAGGTGAACTTCTTCCAGCGAGAGCTTCGGCAGGTACATATGAAAAGACCACATTCCAAAGTCACCCTGAAGGTCAGCAGACATACCTTGTTGGAATCGGTGCGTAAAGTTTCATTTCCATCATCAGTTGTCAGGGTTTTGCAACTAGAAACTTCTTTGGTGTTTGGTTTTATCCTCCAGGTCATCTTTCTTAGGGAACCCAAATTTGTCTTCTCTTTAAACATATCTATTAAAGACTGCTCTTCTCTGTGTCTGATTATACTAAGTTTGGGGTGGATTTGTTCAAGACATGACTGAGGGGAGAGACTAGTTGACACATTGGCTTTACAATCTGTACTGAGCTAGTTCCTGAACCATCTCATGGAACTTCTCCGTGGGGGAGGTAGAAGCAGTTGTTACAGAAGAGCATTCTTGTTCTTGAATCCCTGGAAGAGAAGAGCTTTTGTTGGGTTAAAAGGAAATGATTTCTGTTGTCACTCTGGTCTGATGTAAAAGGAACACCTGATGTGTGTCTGTCTCCACCGAGCAGACACTGGCATAGCTCTCGCATTCCTCAAGAATGAGAAGCCTTGGTCCCTGTCCAGAAAGTGTTTGTGATGTTTGGCTCTGGTAGGTGTGACTGGAAACCCCTTTTCTCAGCCACATTGTCCGTGTGGCATGGCTCCCTGTCTGAACGCAGCCTTGGGGATAGAGAGTTCCAGTGGACGCTGTGCTTCACTGAAAACCAGGACTCCTTGGTTCTCTTGCTGACAGCTTACTAATTTGAGTCCTTTTATTTCTTTATGTAAGAGTTTTCTCATTAGTAAAATGAACATTTAAAAAAAAAAACTTCAACTTCCCAACAAAGCAACAGTGTAAAGATGAATTAAATTGTTTTTTAAAATCTTAAAATTTCTTCCGGAGATGTGTGCATTTTAAATATGAAATGATATGATTAAAGTTTATGAGTACTGTATCTCCTCCAAGTACTAACAGTTAAAGGGACAGTGGCAATGTTCTTGTCTCTAACACCCAAGAGATGCCTGCCGGTCTTCTGACAGTTTCCTTCCCTTAACTGCTTTTCAGTCTCTGAAAGCCACTCGGAATTTCTCCATCTCAGACTGGAGCAAGAACTTTGAAGTGGTTTTCCAAGATGAAGAAGGTCAGTTTTAAAAGCTTATGTTCATTTTCTTTAACTCTCTTCCCCATTCCTCCCCTCCTCCTTACCTGCTCTACACAAATCACAAAAATATCCCCCCTACCCCTGCCCCTGCCCCTGCCCCTGCCCAAGCATATTTTTCCAAAGGAAAAAGAAGTCATGAGTTGAAGCAGAAAAGGGGGTGTTGTCAGGCCAGGTGGCTTGGTGGAGCTGTAGAGCGCAGACACGGGGACTGGGGGGAGGGCGGGTAAGCTCCAAGAGTCTGGACCGGATGGGAAAGTAACCTTGTAGAACAAGAGAAATGTCCATTTCCTGGGACCTCTGATCTCCTGTGTTTCCATACTAGGGGGCATTAACCTAGTGAGTAGAATATCTTGAATCCTATAATCCTACAGAAAGGAGTGGGATTTCAAAAAAAAAAAAGCCACCGTTTATGTGGGTGAGGGGAGTGGGGAAACTAATGTGGGATGGAAGGAAGGTGGAGAGTGTCGAACGATGAATCCATGAGCACAAGTGATAAGAGGTGGTAGGTCAGAATCGCTTTTTTTTTTTTTTTAAGATTTATTTAGAGAGAGTGCGTGTGCCAGCAGGGGGAAGGGCAGAGAGAGGAGGGAGAGAGAGGGAGAGCATCCCAAGCAGACTCCCTGCTGAGCGCAGAGCCCAGTTCGGGGCTCGATCTCATGACCCTGAGACCATGACATGAACCGAAGTCAGGAGTTGGATGCTTAACCAACTGAGCCACCCAAAGCACCCCACATTTTATTTTTATTATACTTTTCAGCTCTGGACTGGGGAGGGCCTCGCCGGGAATGGTTTGAGCTCATCTGCAAAGCACTATTTGATACCACCAATCAACTCTTTACCCGATTCAGTGACAACAACCAAGCATTAGTGAGTTTATGACTTCCTCATGGGTGGGTGGAAAATGTCAATTGTGTTATAATGGATAGTCTAAGAAGGATTTGAGATCCTGAAACTGTCCTGGGAATTTGACAACCTGTGTCTTTTTCTTAATTTTGATACTGACAATATGAACCCAAATTAGATTGCCTCCCTCCTCTTTGCCTTTATTATTTCGTCTGTAAAATAAGAGAAGCAGATAGATGAGTATTTGACTAAAATATAGTGCAGTGGCTATCTGCTAATTATTATAATGATTAGGCCACTTTCTCAAACCACACCTAAAGCCATTGTATTCTGTACTAGATCTTTGACTAGGCAGAGGTATCGGGAGTAGAGAAGTAGACTTTGTTTGAAAGAAGTTCTGGTTTAGGGTAAAGGTATCACATCATCCACTGGTTAGCTTCCATACTCAGCCAGGGACTACAAACTTAATGTGAAATTTTTCTACTTACTGTAGGTCCCTCTTTGCCCTCCATCTTCCAGTCACTCTAAATTACTCACGGTAGCTACTGAATAACTAATGTCATTTAGATGACTCTTTGATTCTAACACTGAAATTCTTGCTACCTTGGGATAGAGTTGATGGGGAGGGTCTTTCCGGAACTAAGCTTGAAGAAAAATGGCCCAGAGCCTTTTAATCTCTTTCTTTGACAGGTACATCCCAACCCTAATCGCCCCGCTCATCTGCGCTTGAAGATGTATGAGTTTGCAGGGCGGCTGGTGGGCAAGTGTCTCTATGAGTCCTCTCTAGGAGGAGCCTACAAGCAACTGGTCCGAGCTCGCTTCACCCGCTCTTTTTTGGCCCAAATCATAGGACTACGTATGCATTACAAGGTAAAGTCTTAGGTATACATTTTTTTACCAAGGACTCTGGCCATTAATTCTGGAATCCCTCCGCCCTGAGCTCATTATTCTTAAGGTTGAAGGGGTAAGTGGTTCCAAACAGTTACAGATTTCATTTCTGGGTAAGAGTCATCACCTTCTGTTCTTTCTGTCTTCTCAGTACTTTGAAACAGATGACCCAGAATTCTACAAATCTAAAGTTTGCTTCATCCTCAACAATGACATGAGTGAGATGGAGCTGGTCTTTGCAGAAGAGAAATATAACAAATCAGGTCAATTGGATAAGGTGAGAAAGAGAACCAAAGCCTGTGGGTCCCATGGTTCCCGGCCTCCTCTGGAGCAGGGCTACCTAATGGAGCTTTCTGTAATTATGGAAATGTTGTTAATCTGTGCTGTCTTTGAACACCCAAAATGTGCCTGGTTATTCACCAAGGAACTGAATTTTTCACTTTATTTTATTCTCATTAAATGTAAATAGGCGTGTGAGGCTAGTGGCAACCATATCAGGACACTGCATCCCACACGTGATGATCTTGGTCCATATGATGGAGCAAAAGACATATGTACCCATATAGCCCACCCATTCCTACTTCCCAGTAGAAAAAGAACTGAGTGAAAATCAAGTGTCCCTGCACAAGCAGCTTTGGGAGGGACGGCAGTACCTTTCTCAACTTAAGTGGTCGTGAAATAGGTAACTCCTATTTTAACGCTGTGCCTGTGTATTTTTCGGCTTTTTTACTAGAAAATTATTGGCCGAAAACATTTCTTTTTTAATTTAATTAAAAAAAATTTTTTTTAATTAAAAAAATTTTCTTTTTGGCCAAAAACATTTCCTTTTTTTAAGATTTTATTTATTTATTTGACAGAGAGAGAGAGAGAGAGATCACAAGTAGGCAAACAGGCAGGCAGGCAGAGGGAGAAGAAGGCTTCCCACTGAGCAGGGAGCCCGATGTGGGGCTCGGTCCCAGGACCCTGGGATCATGACCTGAGCCGAAGGCAGACGCTCAACTGACTGAGCCACCCAGTCACCTCAGCCAAAAACATTTCTGATGCAAATTTGATTCTGTTTATGTTATGGGGTTAAATAGTATCAGATGGTGATGACAGTAAAGTTGCAGTAATACACCATCGAAAGCAAAATAGCAACAACTAACGAATTGTGACCACTGATACCATTGTATGCATAATCCCGTGGCCTCCGGGAACACATTGGGAAGATAAATGAACAGTGGTTCCCATCTTAGAATTTCTGAAATCTAAAAAGACTTCTTCACTACTTATCTGGCCTTATTTATTGTCAGATAAATCAGCTCAGGGGTTTAAGAGAAAAGGTCATGAGGGGCTTAATTTTGGATCATAGAGACATCAGCATATTGCTAACAAGGAACCATGACACCGTCCTGTTGCATCACCGTGGTTTGACCTGGTCAGAGAAGACTCCCTCCGATACCCTAGTAGCCAGTGGATTAGGCAACAGTGGTAGGACCGCTGAAGCTTAGTAACTGTATAAAACCAGATGTGTTGAGAGGTTGAGTGTGCCGCAGAAACTCATGACTGTGGCTGGGTTTACAGGCCATACCGGGCAGGTGTCATCTAATCAATTCCCATCCACAGCCTCCCCCATCTGTCTTTTGCCTTTTCTTTCAGGTTGTAGAACTCATGACAGGTGGAGCTCAAACCCCAGTCACCAATGCAAATAAAATCTTCTATTTAAATTTATTGGCCCAATATCGTCTGGCCAGTCAAGTGAAAGAGGAGGTGGAACACTTCCTAAAAGGTGAGAGCCCGTCTACTCTGGGCCTTGAGATTAAAAACTCCTGAATCCATGGTGTGGGTATGGCTTTAACTCGGCCACTTTGTTTCAGGCCTGAATGAGTTGGTCCCTGAGAACCTTTTGGCTATTTTTGATGAAAACGAGCTTGAGGTAAGTGCTGACAATTGCAGAACCCCCCATTCTTGACCGGGTAAGTGAGTGTGCCCACAGGAACCAGCTCCTTACACCTTCTGTTGTGAGATGCAGTGGGAAAGTCCTTCATGCAAGAGTTGGTTTCACTTTTGTCACTCTTCCATGCATTGCCCCTGTCTCCAGCTTTCAGAACGTTAGAATGTGAACATTAGAAACCAAATAACTAATTATTTTTGAAGAGTAATAATTAATAGTCATTTATTCATCCAGTATTAGTGATACAGGTTGAAGAGTAAAGAACCTGGTATTGTGTACAGTCCTTGTAAATCCTGTGACACTTGAAGTTGATTTAAGGGAATAATAGAATTTATTTGTTCAGGAGACATGGATGTTTGAAGCACTGGAGAGCTAGCAGTGAATAGGACAGAGTCCCTGCCCTCATGGAGCTACATTCCAGGGAAGGAGACAACCCAAAAGATGGGACAAATTTCACAGTTTTTTGCTACAACACTATACAGTCAATGTATTCTTATTGCAGACCCTGTAACAACCGAAAAATGGACCTAAGATGGTGAATACCATTCTGTAATTATCAAAATAGAAGTTGTGGGCAAAAAATAAAATCAGGTGGTCATTGATCTGTTGCTCACAAATGATACATACATGGCAAGGTATTGGTTCCAACTTGCCACAGCCTTTATGAGGAGTGTGTTTTTGCAAACCGTTTCCTATAAGGAGATTCTTCTTCAGAAATGAGAAAACAAAAAATAGTTTCTGGTGGTCTTGTACAGTGTCTATTCTTATTAACTGAATTGGCCTTGAGAACAAGAATCAAAGTCGTGTGCGATTTTTGTCACATTTGTACCTTCAGACATGAAATTCAAACAAAATGAATGCTCCATCTCTCACCCTTAAGTTTCCAATAGACCTGTCACCTAATGCTGTTATTTTTTGGGCTGAGGAACATCAACTGTATTTCGGTTTATCATGAAGCATAACCTTTGTAACAATTTGTAAAAGTGAGGAGGAAGAAAGGACACAGTCTCTTAGAGTTGTTCCACACCCTACTCGTACTCATTAGCTTAGCAGGTTCTTTTTGAAGGAGCCAAAGCTCCTCAGGCTTAATTTGGGCTTTTCTTGTCTCTTGATGAGGACATATCATTCTTTAGAGCTATTGAAGGAGTACTCGTAGTCTGCTAAGTCACCTGCTGGATCTAGAACCAAATTAGGACATCAGCAAGAGGTTCAGGCTTCTGATAGCATTAATTTCTCATTTTTTAGTATACTTTTTAATTTATCTGACCAAGTAGAGGCAGGGCTGAAGAGAAGGTGGTAAAAGTTCAATCCACAAAAGAAGGATGGATCCTGGGAAACAGGAAGGGCCATCTGACAAATTCATAAATGGAGCTGGGGGTTTTCATCAAAGGGGGGGGGGGCCTGCCTTTTCTTCCTGGTATTCCTAGGCCATGTCCAGAACAGTCTCAGTCAATACTTGGTTCTCTATTTGTCTTTTGTTTCAATTCCAAATAATCTGCAGCAGTAGTTCTTTGTTTTTTGTTTTTTAAGATTTATTTATTTATTTTAGAGAAGAGACAGAGCACATGTGCGCGAGCAGAGGGAAAGGAAGGGAGAGAAGCCAACTTCCCACTGAGCGCAGAGCCTGACACAGGGCTCGATCCCATGACCCCAGGGTCATGACCTGAGCTGGAATCGAGAGTCAGACACTTAGCCGACTGAGCCGCCCAGGCGCCCCCACACAGCAGTAGTTCTAAATTAGAGGTGCACATCGGTAACGGGAAACTTTTTCAAAATACACAAGTTCCTAACCCATTCCTAGAGATTTTGGTTCAGCAGGTCTAGGGTAAGGCCACAATAATATACAATAATATACAATATTTTTTTAAAAGCTGTGGGATTTTTTTTTTAACCACACTGGTTAGGAACCATTGGTCTGTTATAATTGATTTTCCTAAAGCAGAGTTCTGGCATTATGTATGATCTCACCTTCTGGTCTTTTTCCTGGTGTTTCCTTTATTCCATGTTTTGCATGTTAACATAGGCTCTTTGGACCTTTTATTGGGTGTTTGTCTCCGACTGTCCTAGTAACACCTGACTGTCTTCTCCAGCTGCTGATGTGTGGGACTGGGGACATCAGTGTGTCTGACTTCAAAGCCCATGCAGTGGTTGTTGGCGGCTCATGGCATTTCAGAGAAAAGGTAAGTGGGCCAGACTTCTTTTCACTGGGTTTGTGCCATGTGGCAAGGAAAGACTTTAGAGTCAGAGAGGCAGACACTTCAACTGGGGAAAAAAATGGTACACGAGGGAAAGACAGCTGATTGTCCAAGCAGAAGGGAGCCCTGGTCCCTAAGGGCGGCTGTGCCATCTGCCGCAGGAGTGGTACATTAGAAAGGCCGAGAAACAGAACCAGCCAGTCAGGCCTGCCCCGCTGCTGGTGTGACAGGGTAAATGTCTGGAGTAGTTGTCAGCTCTCACCGTCACTACCCGTGTCCCCCACTTCCGGCTGTCCTCCTCTTTCCCCAGGGTCCAGTGCCAGGCTGCACACTGAGTGTGACCCCCACCTTGTGCTCTCCCTGCCAGGTCATGAGGTGGTTCTGGACCGTGGTGTCCAGTCTGACCCAGGAGGAGTTGGCTCGGCTGCTGCAGTTCACGACGGGCTCCTCTCAGCTACCACCCGGAGGTTTTGCCGCCCTCTGTCCCTCGTTCCAGATTATTGCCGCTCCGACCCACAGCACGCTCCCGACGGCGCACACGTGGTAGGTCGCACGCTGCCCAGGGCACACTCCTGGTGGGGGAGGCTCTTCCAGCCCTGGTCGGGGTTTTTGGTGGTGTGAGTTAATCACTTCTCCCCTTGCCCTTCAGTTTTAACCAGCTGTGCCTCCCCACATATGACTCGTACGAAGAGGTGCACAGGATGCTGCAGCTGGCCATCAGTGAGGGCTGCGAGGGCTTCGGCATGCTCTGACCACTCTCCTGCCACCCCCCGGGCGCCCGTGCTTCCTGGAGCACCTGGGTGCACCTAACACCGTGACAACCACCGACCCTAACGCGTCTCCATCGGCCAGAAGCTGCTGCATGCTTCCCCGTGTCTGGAGGACTGGCTCGCCTACGAGCCGGGTTGCTCCCTCGCTTTCCCCTCCACCTCTCCCCCACCGGCCACTTCGGCACGGCGTGGAGTCTGAGCTGCTCACTCATGAGAAGAGGACCACGCTGCTGTCACTTCACTTGGTTCTCAGAAGATCTCGGGAGCTGAGGGAGATTACACAAATGGCTCGGCTTCCTTAGCAGGCTGGGGCCCGCCTTGCTCAGCCTCCTGTGCCGATGCCCCGACAGGTCCCTCTGCGGCCCGCATTACTTGCCCTTCGGCGACGTGAGTCCTTCCTGGGCACAGGGCAATGGCCCCTTCCCACCAGGAGCCGGGAGAAGCATAGATAGCAAGTGACCCACATGAGCAGTCCTCATTTTCGTCCCTCTGCACCATGGCGGCCTCAGGTCCACCACTGGTCTACCTCGAAGGGGGACTGATGGCACAAAAGGATCTTTTTTTGTGGTGTCAGAACTGGAAAAGGAGCTTTTTTCCCTGAAGGCATTTCTGGATATGATCATTAATCCATAAAGAACTCTCTAAGCTTTTTCTTGAGTTTGAGCCAGTGAGAAAAAACAGACCCAAGAATGTGAAAGATAGCTGGGCCATAGCTTCCAGTGCTGAAAATGATTTTCCTTTAGGGCACGTCTAGGCCTCTGGCTGGCCTGGAAGACTACTGATGTTTGTCCCTGAGTTTGTCCTATACACTGAGGTGTGGCTGGGCCTGGCCGCTTAGCTCCACCTTATGCAGTCTGCTAAGAGCTAGGGATTCTTTAGCTTTCTACGGAAGAAAATTTTGTAGCAAGGGTTTGGGGTAGTAAGAATAGCATGCTAAGACTCCCTGACTCTCTCCTTGCTTAGTATTCTCTGGCGGCACTGAGGCAAGGGAAAAGGGATCAGTGGCTGAAGTGCTTAATCACAGGTCTGCGGGGTCCGACAGCAAACACCCAGTGGCCCACTGACCTCCTTCCCTCTCTAAGCTGCCAGCAAGAGCCCCTGAGGAGGGAGGACGATCTAGTAGGTTCACTGTTACACGGTGACTGAAGAGAAACTGCCACTGGCTCTTGGTAAGTCACACCATCCTTTTTCATGACAATTTGAATGCAGCCATTTTCAAGACTCAATATCTCATCAACTTCCCGAATCTCTGTTTTTAAGAAGGCTTTGCTGCAAGCTACCATTCTCAACGGGGCATTCAACCCTGATTACAAGCCATCTTTACTGCCAAAACCAGCAAGTCCACAGAGTCCGGGGATGAGGCGGGGCTTGTGGCCGTGCCTCGGCCTCCTGGAAGCCTGTCTGAGCCCTCCTGTTCCCAGGGACCACGAGGAACCAGCCCTCCTGAGCTGCTCCTGCTGCGGCCTGATCTCACTCCTTTGCGGTTGTCATTTGTCCTTCTTGGCGTGGGTGCTGACCTCACTCGTTCTTGGGTCCAGGATCCAGCATCAGGGCCTCGACACCCCCAGCCAGGGTCCTCCATGCCACACGGTCACTGCTGTCCTCAGGGACCAGGACAAGGTGCTGCTGCTTGCTCCAGCGTTTTCCCATGGGACAAATACAGGCAAGTTTCATCATCACCCTGGAAACATGATGCTGCCCCTCGGGCCTAGAGAGGGGTTTCCAGCTGGGGGCTCAGGGGCTGGTTCTGCTGTCTTTGGCAGCTCTTCTCTTCTGGATTCTGCGTTCTCCCCTCCAGTGGCCCTCTGGAGACCAATGCTGGAGCTCGATTTGATTTTCTTGGCGAGATCTGTCCTTTTCAGCTCTGGTCGTAGCACTTTTTGGCTCATCCTGGGTGTTACTACAGCCCGGCTGTGGCAGCTTGCAGCCCTGTGGTAGGCCTCAGCCCCAGGGTCTTGGTTGAACATAAACCCTTTGGTACTGTTGTGGTTTTCTATTCTTCCAGTGTACTCTGTCTCCTAAGTCTGTTCCAAAGTATCTTTGCCCTGTTTGGCCTTTTCTTTTACCTTTCTTTCTAACCCTGCTGTGCTACCAGCCAGTATGGGGAAAAGGTACAACATGTCAGGAGGAAGAATACCTGTTACTTCTTGGGCAATTGTGAATTTCACGTTTCTTATTTTGGCCAGTTCTTTGATTTATGCTCCTGTGGCCCAGGTACTTGGGGGGCCATGTGAACGGCTGGCCTTGTAGTGTCTTGGAAGGAGACCAAGCCAGCACCGAGTGAACACCAAGGAGAGCATCAGCGTGTTTTCTAGAGACCAAGCGCTGCTGCAGATCCGTCAGGCCAGGCAAAGGGGCCAGACCGCTGCAGCGATAGTGTAAATATTTTGTACAGTAAATAAATCAATATTGAAAAGGACTAAGGAGCAAGTGACTTCTTTAAGTGGCGATTCAGGGCTCAGACTGGAGGCGGGGAAGGAAAAGAAAGATCTAGAAATGTTTTTGCACATCCCCAAGTAAATCCTTCAGAAGCCATGAGCTCAGGGTAGAGTGTACCTGCAGAGCCCTGGCCCGTCCTGGGCTTCTCGCTCTTTCACCCTTCCCTCATTGCTGTCCCTGATGCCAGGTGGGGCCACGGTGCAGGACACCGGCTTGTGCTCAGCTCCTGAAGCAGAAACCAGTTTGGCAAGAGCAGAGGATGTCTGTTCTCGTGAGTCTTTTAAATGTTCATTTAAATGTTTGATATAAGAAACTCGGCATAGAAAATTTGGAAATGAAAAGAGCCCAAGAGAAATCATTCACCTGCCATCCAGAGGTAACCACTGTTCACTGATGTACGTAGCCTTCTGGTTTGTGTACAGTCACCTTTATTTCCACACCTCCTCCTCCCAAGCGAGCTAGGCGTGGCAGACAAAATCACTGCTTCTCAAACGTTTGTGGGTGGCAGGCTGTACCAATTCTTTTGCAACCAAAGGTGGAGAAAACCAAGGGGACCTAGAGGGAAAAGTAGCAGGGACCCTGGCTTTGCTGGGAAAGTAATCACGGTGTCATTACACATTGGTTCCCAATCTGGAAAGTCAAAAAAAAAAAAAAAATACCCTTTGGAATTGTTTTTAAAATACTGATTTTTGCCCCATCTCCCAGACCTGGTGAATTGGAATCTTAGTTTGAACACCACTGTTTCAGAGTGCATTCACTCTACTCCCACCTCCTCAAGCTCCTCGGTGATATGAGATGTCCTTAGAAAACCCAAATTCAGTCCCTCTAACTTCATATTTTTAGGTTAACAGTCTTTCGTCTTTTACACTTGCTGCTGTTGTGGCTTTGAGTGGCCGTGAACATTCATCACTGATTCATTTCAGCCTATCATAAAGTTATTCCTTTTTTTTTTTTTTTTTAAGATATTTATTTATTTGAGAGCGAGAGCAGGGGGAGGAGCAGAGGGAGAGGGACAGGCAGACTCCACGCTGAGCAGGGAACCTGATGCGGGACTCAGTCCCAGGACCCTGAGATCATGACCTGAGCCAGAACCAAGAACTGAACACTTTAACCGACTGAGCCATCCAGGTGACCCCTATCATAAAGTTATTCTTAAGACTCAAGACGGCGGTAGGATTGTTCTCAAATTAACACTGAAAACTAGCGTCAGCCTCGCATGAACTGTTACTTCTGGCCCACTGCAGAGAGAGCCGTCAGACCTCTGCCCAGCCACACTTCTCTCTCGTAGGAGCACAGTAGAGCTTCTCTGGCAGGTGGCTTGAAGCAGGGCCTCTACTTGTGCTTCACATAGACCCCCAAGCATAATAGAACAGCTCTAGGTGTTCTGTAATACTTTTACTTAAAAATGAATTTACTTTTTTCTTTTATTTTGAGATGTAACATAGATAAAAAAAAAAGGTCCACAAGCATGTACAATTTAATAAATAATTATAAAGGAAACACACATGTAACCACCACCCAAGTCAAGAAATAAAACGTCACAGCACTGCAGAGCTAGTCTCATCCCACCCCTCCAGAGGTAACTATTATCTTGATTTTTATGGTCATTGTTGCACCGATTCCCTTTTTAAACAGTCTGTCCTAAAAGTCACAGTGGGGAGGGGAAAAATAAGAGGCCGTGTGATCTCTTGATAAGATACTAACCAAGGTCAATTTCTCTATTGTAATTAACTACACATCACAATTAGTTTAAAGAGAAGTTTGAGATCATTGTGCCATAAGGATCTAGTTTAGATTCTTGATGCTGAATCTGATGAATCATATTCAAAGACAATAAGGTCTCTCTGCAAAGACTTTCCCACAGGTATTCTAAATTGAATACTGCTTTGCTTTTATACCCTGAACATGTTTAGGGGGCTGGTCTAACATGATCGTGATTCTCTTTGGTGCTCAGCGGCAGGTTCTCGAGTATCGTGTAAGTGTGGTATTGAAAATGAGTCCACGCTAAATTGTCTCAAAAGTTGTGAAACGGGCTAATATTTCTGAGTTAGAGGACTGAGTCTGTGCAGCATCTAACAATGCCATTCCAAAGTTACCCGAGAGCTTTGTTGTTTTGGGTTGGTGTGCACAGGGGGTGGATTTAGAAATCCACAGGGGGTACTGTGATGATTTGGGTTTGTGAGCGATAGAGAGGTGCCTCCTAGAGCTTGCTGTGCCTTGCTGTGAATATTCTCCGCCCCCTACCCCAAGTTCAGTTCACTTGAATTCTGCTCCTATAAGAACATACGGTGGTAGCCAAAGCAGGGACCTGGCTCAGGTGTGGTCTTTACAAGATGGTCCATAAATTCCTGGTAAGAAGATGTGGAGGACACAGTCTCTTTCCAGATGGCAGAGGAATGATAGTTGTAGGTTTTTGATAGGGCATCAGAAGGAACTTTGGTAAAGTTGTCCAGGCTGTCAGTAGAACCCACCAGCTGCTGCAGCTTCTTCAACACAAGGTAGCACGTCGTGGAGCAGGGATCAAACACATCACAGAACCATGATAGCTGTCACCTTACAAGAACATTGTGGGGCTCCCCTTCTAGTTCCCTTTGTTGCCTGCCTTCAGGGAAACGATGGATGAATACTGCATCCAGGATGAAGCCTTTGGGTGTGCTTGCTACCCAATTAATAGACCAACATGGTCTTCGTAATCTTCGGTGACCATGAATGCCTTTTGACCAGGGTCAGCTGGCAAAGCAGGCAACTTTCTGAGTGAGCAAGGTCTTAGGACTTCATCTCTTAGGGATGACTCTAGGAAGAAGTAAGTCTTGGACTAGTCAAGGAGCTAGGTGAGGAGATAACATCATAGTGTCCTTGACCAGGTGGCCCATCCTAACTTGCTTGCTATGTCCCTGACGCCAGAGCCCCTGGGCCTGTAGCCTCCCCTGCAGCAGAAGCATCTGTCATTTGGCCTGTTCTCAAAGAAGATGTTCTTAGACACGTTTGCATCAAGTGCGCAGAATGGGGCTCTCAAAGGACAAAGAGCCATGAATTGATGAGTCTGAACATTTCTGTTTTATTTTTAACTCCATGGTTCAACTTTGGGCAGGACAGTCTTCTTTCAATATTTAGTTTCCTGACCTGTGAAATGATGTAATTAACTAAATAAGAAAACTGACTCATAGCTTAGAGCTCTTGGAAGGTTTTCCTATATATAGTATGTGTGTTATCATATTGACCATGGCTTAGGGCCCTGGAAATTTCCATGGCAGGAGGCTGTATGGATCTAGGGGCAGTGGAGGATGCTAGAGTGGATGACTGGTATGGGATAGTGGCTTGGCTCTTGTCCCTGCTTGCCATGTTCAGGCAGGCCAGAGAGAATGGGTATTCAAGACATCTAGCCCAAACACCTGTGAAAAGGCCCCAGGTCAGAAGAGACCTCCTCTCCTTCCTTCTTATGACCCTCTAAAGGCCAAAGGAGGTCTGTGAGGGGACTGTATCTCCAACTTATGTGGCATAGACAACCCAGTGAGAAGCAAGCTAATACTCTTGACTTCCCTTAGCTCCTCTAATTCCTAAATCATGATAGTAGCTGCCATTTTTTTTTTTTAGTTCCTCCCTTATGCTAGGAGCTTTAATAAATATTACCTTACAATGCAGTGACCCTGCAAAGTAGGCCTTGTTTTCTCCGTTCCGCACAAGACACAATAGACTCAGGATAAGTAACTGCAGAGGTTCCTTAGCCGGTAAGTGGCAGAGCCATACTTGAACACAGGTCTGTTTCATGTCAAGACCCAAACTCTTCACATTGCTGTTTGGCTCAGGCAAATTAGCCTAGACTAAGGAACAGCCCAGGTACTGGGCCACCAGTGCTCACTGATTCTGCCTTACGTTTGTTTGGTGACACTGTGTGACAGATGAGCATTTTACACCCTGTCTTACACCTGTCAGTCACTTGAGGATTTGGGATTTACAGGAGGGAGAAGGCCCTACTCCAAGAAATATAACTGTTGCGGGGAATGCCTGGCTGGCTCAGTTGATAGAGCATGGGGTTGCCCACTTTAAAAAAGAAAGAGAGAAAGAAGAGAAAGAGAAAAGAAAGAAAAAGAAAGAAAGAAAGGAAAGAAAGAAAAGAAAGAAAAAGAAAGGAAGGTAACTTTTGATAGTGGCTTTAAAATCTTTTCAATGTAGAAAGTTCCACAAAATACCAACTAATGGCTTGAGTGAAGTGACTTCCAAGTTTAAATGAACCTGCCTAAAGAATACAAGAAATTCTTGAGGATATAACTGAGGGGAAAAACAAAATCCTGAAATTTTAATGTCCCCACTTTGGTAGGAAAACCACAGGTCTCACGCAAATGAAATCATTTAGAATGAGGTCAGACACGCCACACAATACCCTGATGCTTATCTCTGGTAACTAACTCTGCAGAAAAAAGGCTCATTTAAATAAATCTTTTGTCTTTAAACTTTCCTTACATGAAACACAGCACCATTTGGTAAAGGCCAAATTCCTGGTGGTTATCTCACTGAGGAAGCAGACATTTTCAAGAATGCCAGTTAAAGGGAGACCTACCCCTCACACAAGACTGCTTCTGTTGGAATTATTCAACATAGCATCTTCCCTAGGGTGGGGGTCCTGTACCTCTCTGGGATGAGGTCCCCATTTCTACAACCCCCCACGTCACCTGCATTATGGATTTTGCACATGAAGGAATCTTTCGGAATCTTCCCATCCTCCTCCTACAGACCAGCAATGTTCCCTCTCTCCTCAGAACTCCCACTCGAAGGAATTGCCAGGACATTCCTCTGTTTGCCTATTAACAGAGTCGGGGATATCAGAGTATTTGCAAGCCAGCTAGAGAGGCTTTGATGGCTTTTATGTTCTGTTGAAAACAAAATGTTGTATTATTGTGTAAGAGGAAGATTGTGTGTGTGTCATCATTTTGTGCTAGATCTCATAAGCTCTAGGTCTAATCCTGCTCTAAGTTGTCATTTCATTTCCTATAAATGTACCTCCCCTGCCACAACCACCACCAAAAAAACCAAACACCGAAATCTGATATTTCTCTTCCATCACTGGGTTTGTGGCCTCCCTTTTCCCTTTTGTTCTTCGCACCTCCACACGTTAGCAGACTTTTCCCATGTATCAGGGAGGCATTGTGCTGCAAGCTAGGGACACACGAGACAGAATGTGATCCCTGCCTCTGAACAGCACAGTCCTGTATGGGGAGACAGACATATGAAAAATCCAGTTCCCTTTGTTTCCTTCCCCCAATGCTTGAGCACCCAAACCCATTGCCACCCATCCCCATAGTTTCTCTCATTCTTGTTTAATTGGGCGGGGGGGATCATTTCTGTTTATGCACTTGGAGACTTTCCATAGTACAGGACTAATGGCTGCAAGTGAAATTTGTCTAGCTCCTAACATGTATACAAAGGGAGGGAATTTATTTTCAGAGAAGCAAGAACCTTTGCAAAGATGGATTCCAAACCAGGAGACCCCCACTGTCCCATAAATAGGCCATCATCTGAGCAGGTCCTAGGAAAGGCTGGGAAAGGGACCTCTGCGATCTCAGGACCCACTCTCCCCTTAACCTCCTCTTCCAGACAAAGCAGACCTGAAGTGTTGACTTTGGCAGTGAGAGGACTGGCCAGTAGCCTGCAGCTCAGTGAATGAAATTAAAATCCTGAGTAGGGAGAGAGAGGTACCTCCAACACTAGCGGCCATCAGAAGGGTTCGTACAGAGGTGGCCAAGGAAAGAAAGTAACTCCATTTCCAGTGAGTCCAGAGGCATGAAGAGGCAAATCAGTTTCATGAACAGCCATGAAATTGATTGGTTGAGACCATTATGGGTGGAAACACTGAGCTTCACTCCAATTTCCCTTGATGTTAATCACACCCAGGAAATTGAAGTCCTTCCTCATCTCTTTGTAGGGTGCTATAGCTGATGCCTGTTCCTCTCTGGGGTTTGGACAAGTTGTAGCGTTGATTCCCCGAAGCTTCTGAGCTGGATCACAGCTGGATGGCCGTTGCCTTTAGGAAAGCCTTCAGTCTTCTTTTCCCGGAGGGATTCCTCCTCTGATACTTTGTTGATGATGATGCAAGCCTATGTCTCCTCAAATACTCAGAGCACCAGGACTAAACTTGGGTATTCTCCTATAGATCTGGCACTTGCCATCCTAGTCAAGGTAGACGTGTCGTTGGATCCTGACAGGCTCCGGAGGTGGGTGGGGAGGTCTGGAGGTGGGTGTGGGTACAGCAGCTGTGCGTGCATCTGCCAGTTTCACAGTGGTTCTGGTTTCAACAGTTCTGACTTGATCCCCGAACACCTTGAAAATTGTATTGTTTTGGCGTCCAAACCATGGCTTCCAGACAGCCTCTCATACCCGGAAGCAGTGCTTTAAAACTCTTGTCAGGCCATATCTGGAGTTTTGGCTCCAAAAATGCCATTGTGGATTAGCTATACAGGGATGAAAAAAAGCACAACTCCAGTCCTGCTTTTGGGGCACAGGCTGGGCTCAAGGGCTTGGCGTGGTGGGTAAAAGGGGCCAAGATAGTGGTTGGCACAAGGATATGGAGAACTCTGGAAGCGGAGCCAGAGACTCTGAGGACTGAGGCCCAGGAAAGTTTGGCACGAGTAACCCCGGGTATTTAACCAGGAACAGTCCCTTTATTTTTCTCAGCCTTGGCAGCCGGTCAGAGCAACAAGCAGTTCTAGCAAGGTCCACATCCTTCCTATTGTCTCCACCCCAACCTCACTCATCGTCCCAAACATCTGCTTCATATTTGGGCCCTTGCCTTCTCCCTGATTCCTGTACCAAACCGCGGTGGCGAGCGTGAGGGCGAGGGGCAGGTCTGCAGGTGTGGGATGGGGAAGAAGAGGAGGTGGGAGGCTCTGGGAAAAGTCCTTTAAAGGTTTTATTTCAGGTGCTGCAGAAGGATGAAGGATCTGACCTTTTTTTTTTTTTTTTTTAATGTACATATATATCACCCAAATCTAACCAGTAAGTTGTTTCACTTTTTGGATAAAGGGAGGGCAGGAATTGGGACCAGCTGGGGACATCTTCGGGCCATCAGAGGGCCTGCTTTTCAAAGGTAGCTCAGAGTCACTCCGGAGGGAGCAAAGTGAAGTGATTAATGCCCACAGTGAACAGTCAGGAAGTGCTAATGAGGTAGTAAACCTTCTCCAGCTCGCAGCTGCGTGGAGGCTGAAGCAGAGGCAGGCGAGGCCAGCCGGGGCCTGGAGGTGGCAGGAAAGGAGACAAGCCAGAGCTAGCAGCCACAGCAGCCTCGAACGTGTCACCGCGACAAAATCGAACTTTCCCTAGTGCCTGCCCTGAAATGTCAGTCCATTTGATGTTTTTTAAGATTTATTTACTTATTTGAGAGAGAGAGAGAGCACGGGGGAGGGACAGAAGGAGAGGGAGAGAGAATCTCAAGGAGACTCTGTGTTCAGTGCATACCCAACCAGAGGCTCAGTCTCAAGACCCTGAGAGATCATGACCCGAGCCAAAACCAAGAGTCAGACGCTTAACCCACTGAGCCACCCAGGTGCCCCTGCCAGTCCATTTTAAGTGACAGAAACTCCCCAAGGGAAAATACTGGGGAGCCTTAGGGAGTAATCTCAGAACTCTTAGAATAATGATAGCATCTAATCCTGCGCCATGCCCTGCTCAAGGAACTGCCTGTGTTAACTCATTTAATCTTCACATCAATCTACAAGGTAAAGACAGGTACTATTTCCACATTACAGATGAGGAAACTGAGGCACAGAGAAGTAACTTGCCCAAGGTTGCATGTCTAGTGATGCGTCTAGGTGTCAAGCTGGTCCTGACACTTTATCTCCCACGAGCTTGAAGGAGGTGGAGTTTGAGGACAGGAGAGTCAAATCCAGAGAACGCTGGGAAGAGAGTTGCTAGTGTTCTGCTCATCTTCCAACCCCGAGACAGATTGTGTGGTCCTCTCACTCCTGGGGCCACAGGGAGCCAGTCTGACAGGCGCTTCTCCATCCTGTCCCACTGTTCTGTGCCTCCTGAGGCTTCTGCTGCCCTCCCGGGGCAGAGCTTACACTTTCCACCCCCCTCTCCGACCCAGATCAGCTGGGGGAGGCGACTTAGAGACTTGCCCAGGGCTCCAGGCCCCGGGTGGGGAAGAAGAGGCGCTGAAGGGCAGGAGCCAGCCAAGGCCCTGTGGGCTGCCAGGAGCACCGTTAAACTTCAAAGCTGCGGGGTGGGAACCAAACCCATCACTTGGCTGCGAAGCTGGGAGCCCCAGTGACATACCTCACCCTGGCAGGTCTCTGTCTGCAGAGAAGCAACCGGATGGGTAGCGACAGGCTGAGGGTTGTTTCCAGCTGCTGCAGCCCGAGCTTCACCAGAGCCCACTTCATGTCCTCTCTCCGTAGGAGAGAAGAGTGTGCTGGTGAGAGATCACAGGGCCCTCGCCTGACTGGGCCAGAGCCCCACAGACACTGGGTCGCGGGCATGAAATGAACAAGCCCAGGTCATGCCCGCCTTTGTGCCTTTGTTTATGGTGGGCACTCCAGGAGGACTGCTGCCCATCTCGGTTCCTCCCACCGCCTTGCCCTTCAGACCCAGCTCAGGTCAGAGCAGGTGAGGATTAAATAAGAGAATTTATGAAAAATGCTTGCACAGTCTGACACACAGGAAGCCTAAAAAAAAAAAGTGGGTATCATATTCTTATTAACGACGGCAAATAAATATGCACAGCTATCTTTGGCTTTGTTGTAGTTTTGAATTTGGAAGATCTGAGTTCCAATCCTAACCTTGCCCCTTCTTAGTTGAATACTCTTGGATAAATTGCTTAATGTCTCTTAACTAGAAAATACTGATTCTAACAGCTACATAGCATACCGCACAGAGGGAGTGTGAAGCTCAAAGATAATGGTTGTAAAAGATGTTTTGTAAAATCACAGAACCTCTTACGAATGTTGGCTTTGCCTTTCCCACTTCCTCTGGCTCACATGGGGCTCTGGCATTGGCGAAGCTCCTATCCCCTCCATGCCTGCCCTTTGGGCGATCTGACCCCTGCAACTGACCTGGCTCTTGTTAAATCCCTTTGCCCCTTTATTCAGCAAAGACAAGCCTGGAACTTTTTTCGGAAGAAACTTTGGTTTAAAAATGAAAGGGGTAAATTAAACCAAGCAAACGCAAAAGGAGAGCAATTGGGCTTACGAATCTGATGTCTCCTGCTGTGAAGTCCAACCTTGAGGAGCAAATCCACTTAGAGCCGTGACCACAAGCATCACCTGCTGTCCCTCCTTGGCTTTGCCTGGTGGACTTGGGGTTGAAGGACCCCAAAGAAAAGGAGAGCCCAGAATAATAGTGAGCCACCTTCTCTCTCTCACACACACACAGGATGTGGCTAACACCCACAGGTCTTCAAATATGATGTGTCTGAGCCTCCCAGTGAGTCCAGCCCCCAGAGGCAGGCGTCCTGAGAAGCTAGGAAGGTGTGCACTTGGGTCTCCTCGCTTGCATCAGCCCCTTCCAAGGTCATATATATATTTTTCAAGATCATATATTTTACAATATCTGCCAAAGTAAGATTTTTATGGGGCGCCTGGGTGGCTCAGTTGTTAAGCGTCTGCCTTCGGCTCAGGTCATGATCCCAGGGTCCTGGGATCGAGCCCCGCATCGGGCTCCCCGCTCAGCGGGAAGCCTGCTTCTCCCTCTCCCACTCCCCCTGCTTGTGTTCCCTCTCTCGCTGTATCTCTCTCTGTCAAATAAATAAAATCTTAAAAAAAAAAAAAAAAAGATTTTTAAACCGTAGTACTTTTACTGTCTCTGCCATGATTTCTTCTCTGTCACATCCTTCTTGTCAGGTAGGGGGAGGTGGCTGTGGCATCCAGGGGCGTGACTAAGGGAATTTGAGTTGGGAGTGCATTCAGTTGGGTTTACTGTCAGATATTCGTTTAGTTACTGTTGGGAAAACATTCAGTTTTCTCACTAATACACTTATGCCACGTAATAGTAGCTGATGTAGTTAGAAGTGGCTTTCTAGAATGTTCCCATTGCCCAGTGTGGGGATTCAGCTGATGCAGTGACAGGTGCAGGGTCTGAAGGTTATCACATCCAGGATGAGAAGTACTCAGGTAGGAGAGGAGAAACAAGGGCTTCAATATACAGATTATGAAGGAGGGTATTTATTTGAAATAATAAAAAAAGTCACAAAAAAATTTTAAGCTAGCTAATTTTAAGTCTAGAACAGTAATCCGGACCAGCATCTGGATGTGCCCCTGTCAGCTGCTATGTGTCTCTGCCCTCTGTGGGTCTGCCATCGCCCGTCTGACGGGATGTAGGAAGAGGAACAATAAAGGATTAACTTCAGATTAACCATTTGGGGTTCCCAGAGACAGAGAAAGATGATAATGATTAAATATGAATTTTATGCCATCTTTTGGCACTTTGTGTGAGTCCCTGGAGGGAGGACACAGAGAGTCCCAAAACCAGTGTCTCGGGTTCTTGGGTTGAGGGCTGAGAGCTACAGGCCAGGGACTCTCCTGCCAGCTTCCCATGGCCCTGACCTTTGTGTGTTCAAATACAGGGAGCACAGATCTAATCAGAGTCAGGCACCTACTGTCACTGATTCCTTAGGAACTTTTGAGAACCGACCTTGACCAGAGAGTAGCTCTGCAGGAAGTGGGGCAGGCGGGACTAGAAAGAGAAGGAGACCAAACAAGGACGTGACATCAAGCAAGAGGCCACAGGGAGACGTGGCTCCATGTGCAGGGAGCTTAGGAGATGGAGCTGTTTATACCCCAACCCCGGACCTGTCGGTTGGGGGCTGCCCTTGGGGCCCGAGGGCAGAATTTCACAGGCACTCCCCTGACCTCTATGCAGGTGGCCAAAGCAGGTTCTAACAGCTGGAAATAGCCACCGGCAGGTGTCCTGAAGTGGTACAGAGACCAGAAGATTCGTGGGCAGAGTCCCGATAGCCCCTGCTGGCTGTATCTGTGCCCCGTCTGCTTTAGGGGCACAGGCCGTATTACCTCTAGTTCCCGGGCATCGATTCGGTCACTGAATCCTCAGACAGCCTTGGCATCACTCCCAACGTCATGGGTGAAGCTCAGAGACAGGTGCTGTGACCTGCTCCCTCTGCCATGTGCTCTCCCCAGGCCCTCCCTGACCATCACCCCTGGTCTCACCACCCTTGGCTTCCTTCACGAGCGGCGACACCTCACGTGGTTGGCTCACCCCGCGCACGCACTGCCCAGCACAGTGTCAGCACGGAGCAGGTGTTCCGTGCGTAGTTTCCCTCTGGAGTCCACACCTGGTGGTGCGGTGCGGTGGTCACGCCCACTCCGTGCCAGCCCAGTGCTGGGGCCCACGGGGCGCCCCTGGGTGCTGGGAGGAGAAGGCAGCCCCGAGCAGAGTGCCAGGGAGACAGGCCCCAGCTGTTTCCTGACAGCATCCTCTCTCACAGCCGAGGAAGCCTTTGAGAAACTGCCCTCCAGACAATTCCAGGTTCCTGGGAAGGACAGCAGCCTGCTTGGGATGGCTTTCCACGCGTCCCTCAAGAGCCGCCCCCCAAAGTCGTCGAGCGTTCACAGCCTGTACATGAACTTAAAGTTAACGTGTGAGATCACTAGTGGCCTCGGGAATGTGCCACAAATGGTCCGGAGGCCCTGCCTGAGAGCTCGGAGGGCCGTGGACAAATTCATAAGCGGAAATCAGACCACTGAACGTGGAGCCGATATCAGTCGGATCAAGTATTTAGACTGAACACAAGCCAAAGAGAAAGCACATTTGCCTTCGGAGACTGAGGCCCCGAGTGGGTTGAAAGGGAAGGGCTGCTCCCAGCGCTCGGGAGAGCCATGGGGGATACAAAACACAGCGGGTCCGGTCCTGCCTGCCCTTCACCTGGGCCCGTGTCCTCGGGGAAGACAGTGCCGCAGGGTGCTCAGCTGTCCTGCCTCGCCCTGGGCTTGGAGGCAGACAGAGCCAGCACCCCGAAGGGGACCTCACACTGGAGAGGGGCTGCAAGGGAGCTGCTCTTGCGGGCTCTGGAGCTCCAGGCTGGTTGCCACCTGCCCTCCCCCAACCCAGACTAAATAGCCAGCCCTACGGGTAAGTGAGAAATTCTTGGCCTCGGCCTGCCCCGGCCTCTCTGGCTTAAAATCGCCTTCTTTCATGGAGCTGGGGCATCTGCCCTTAGCCTGTTCTTCCTGTCCCTCACCCCAGGGGCTCGAGCTGATTGGCAGATTTATGCAAGCATGGAGGGTAGGGGCACTGGCCTTGGTAAGCAGCCAGGAAGAGGGAGGGAGTGAAAGCCAGAGACAGAGCACAGACATGGAGGCAGAGACCGTCTGAGAGCAAGAGACAGAGTAAGACCAGCAGTGACTGAAGATGGAGACAGGGTGAGAGACACAGAGAGGGTCTGGGAGACAGAGAGAGAGAGAGAGAGAGAGAGAGAGAAGCTCATGGAGTGGAGAGGAGAGGCAGGAAAACAGGCATATCCTATAGGAATGCAAGACTGAAATGCAAATGGAGAGAGAGAGGACCCACAGCTGAGCAGGCTCTGCTGGGAGCTGAGGCTCCCACTGTTGGGGTTGGTCCCAGTGCAGGGAGAGGGATGAGTTCTCCAAGACGGGCCTTAGACGCCGGAGCAGGGACTTCCCACATCCCACATCTGCTTCCCATCTGCATCCCACTCATGGTGGATTTGCATCCCCAGGCTTTCTCTCCAGACCCACAATCCATTCAAAACAAATCTTGGCTTTTCATTCGTAGCTGCAAATCCGCGCAGACATCTGCAGCTCTTCTGGATCCTGTGGGGCCCCACAGGCGCAGGCCGTGCCCGTGTGGAACCAGGGGTGGGGAGTGGGTGCAGAAGGCAGAGAAGGGGAGCCTTTGGAGGAGAGACGGCAGCCCTTTGGCTCTGACCCGGAGAGGACTTCGCGTCCTCGCCCAAGGGCTCTCAGGAGGCACCTCAAGTCCACCGGCCCTCCCAGGCCCTTCCCCAGAGGCTGCACCTGGTGTGCTGGCGATATGACCAGCTTGTTCTTCCCACATCTGGGGGAGGGATAAGCCAGAGCAGAGCCCTCAGCCATCAAGACTGGCCATGTCAAAGCAACATGCACAATGTCCTTGACAAATGGCACTTATATAAAAAAAAAAGTTTTAAAATGCTAATGAACAATCTCTGTAAAAGGCCCAAGCTCCAGGTTTTAATGTAGACACTGCGACATCAGATGGCATCTGTCTCTCTCCTGCCATTCTGCCATGGTGTCTGCCCCATCTCCTGCCTGTCTCCTTTCTCTGCTCCTCTCTTCCCTGGGCCCAAGCCCCACCCCCTCTAGGGCATTTTGATCCTTCTGCCACTCCATTCCAGTCCTGTTACTGCCTCTCCTTATTAGTCTACTGATTTATTCATTCATTCACTCATTTCACCGTCCATTCAATAATTCTTTTATTTAACCACTGATTTTTTCATTCAGTGTTCATAGAGCACCATGCTAGGCTTACAGTTGCTGTGGACTGAATGTTTGTGTCCCCCCTCAAATTCATATGTTGAAGCCCTAATCCCCAGTGTGACGGTGCTTGGAGGTGGAGTTTGAGAGCAAATTAGGTTTAGAGAAGGTCATGAAGGTTGGGGCCCATGATGAGATCAGTGTCCTTATAAGGAAAGGAAGAGACCAGAGCTTGCTCCCACTCTGCCATGTGAGAACACAGCAAACCAAGAAGGCTCTCACCAGACACTGAATCTGCTGGCCCTCTTGATCTTGAACTTTCCAGACTCTAGACTGTGAGAAGTAAATTTCCGTTGTTTAAGCCACCCAGTCTAGGACATTTTGTTATGGTAGCCTGAGCTAAGACAGCAATCCATCAAAGAGGCAAATCATACACTGAGCAGAAGCTAACACACCAGGGGTTAGAGGACAGTACAAGAAATGTTAGTGTAGTGGTGGAGACAGTGAATTCCCTAGAATTTGGAGACGGAAATCTTCTCAAAGGAAGTAGCAGTTTGGGTTCTTTTGGTCCACCCTTAGGACATGGCTTCTACCAGGACACGGAGGTGGGAGAGCTCAAACATTCTTGAGCCAGCTGCCCAGGCCTAGATTTAAGAAAGACCCTGGAGACAAATTAGGTAATGAAAAGGGGGTCTTCTAGGCTGTGAGCTTCAGTGTGACTCCTGAGGTTGCATGGTGGTCTCTCTCTGGCTATCAGAGACTGGGCAGCGCCCCTCAGTCAGGCTGGAGAGGAGGAGGCAGGGTTGCAAAAGGCAAGACTGAGGCCTGGGAATTCAGCCAGACTTGCCTCAGAAAGAGGTGCTTGGGCATAAGGGTTGAGAGGCGTGTGTGTTGGGGGTGGGGGATGAGCAGGAGGGAGAGGCTCCAGCTCTGGAGAATGGGGGAGGGTGGCCTGATGACTGTCCTTCAGAAGCAGTGGGGAGTGGGCCAGAGGTGGGAAGTGGGATGGAGTGCTGACGTGTGTGGGTGTGTGTGCGTGCATGATGGTTTGCACTTGGGGTCAAGACAGGACACTAAATGCTCAGAGGGAGATCAGGGACTGCGAACAGGGTCCAGCTTCCTGCTGAGGTGTCAGCTTTCTGAGGGATTGAAGTCAGCTCAGGACTCTTTCCGTAATGAGTAGTAAAAGGGAATTTAATGGGTTGTGTGACTATAAAGTTCAGAATAGGGCTGACTTCAAGCCCATTCTTGACTCAGAGGCCCGAACACGGCCATTAGGACTGTTTCCTCCATCCTCCGCTTGGCCCTGAGAGGTGGTGGCTTACTCTCAGGCCATCCCCACACCGCCTCAGCTCTTAGTTCAGAGGTTCTGACCAATAGGAGCCCTAGCACAAAAATCTCCCTGGTTCTGATTGGGTCGTGTGTCTTTGCCTGAACCAATCACTGTCACTAGGACAGTACAATGTCTTGATTGGCTAAGACGTCAATCGCATCATACCACGAGGTGGCTCCCCAGAGGAAAATGAATACTTTTCACCAGGAGAGGGTGAATGGTTTTGGTGGATGGTGAAAACAGCCGTTCCCATCCCCCCCACTACCGTCTTAAAAAGTATTGCACTCTTATAGCGTTAGGCTCTTTTTACTCTAGGAGAATGTAAGCTCCAGGAGAACAGTGACTTTGTCTTTTGTTCACTTTTGGAACCCGCTCTCAACAATGCATGCTCCAGTGCTCAATAGATAATTGCAGAATGAATTCAGCAGGCTGTGTTAATTGCTGCAAATGTGAGACCCCCCAGCTAATGATTGTTGAATGTTTACGTGTGTCACAGATCGTTCTAAGCAATTTAAACATTTAAAGTCAGTCATTCAGTCATTACACAACATCATGGCAAGTGCTGTTATTATTACCTGTATTTTACCGATGGGGAAAGTGAGGCACAGGGCATTTTCACAGTAAGTAGCAGAACTAGCCAGGCATCTGGCTCCAGCAAGTGTGCTCTTAAGCACCACCTCGCGCTGCTTATAGAGGTGAAGTCCCCGCATTGGACTTTCAGGCAGACCAATTACTCAGCCTGCAATCTCCAGAGATATTGTTTCTTCTGCCTTCAGGTTAAAAGTTTCTCCTGCTCTCCTTGACCTTCAAAGGGCAGTGGAAGTGAGTGATTCTGTGAGTCGTAGGAGCATCTCCCATTCTTCCTTCCAGCTGAAAATTGAATTGGATAGAGCT